ACCCAGCAACAGTTCTTTAAGTCATTTGATGGGGCGCTTCCAGCATTTCCATCAGGAAGGTGTCGATCGGCGTGTCGCCTATTAGCTTGAAGAAGAAGAGGTGCTCCAGGCATTTCAGGCCGATGGACCGCAGGGCTGGGAGACGGAGCAAGAGCTTTGCGAACCTGAGGGCAGGAGACACAACAAGGTCAGACATCCCACGTCTACCCCAAGCCCCAAAAGCTTCTGTGGCCACTGCTGCTCAGAAGAGCTGGGAGTCAGACACAACCTCTTCGGTTACCAAAGTCATGGGGCTGAGCAGAGCAGAGCAATCATTAATTACGTCCCCAGCCTTGAAGAACAGGCAGCCACGGCGGATATTCACAACAAACGTGCTGATAGCAGAGCAGGGAGAGTGAAATAAGAAATGAAAGGCCACCCCTGGACTGGGGTGCACCACTGGCTTCGTGCATCACGTCTGTGTGTTGCCCAGGGAGGTGGCTGAGTCACCATCCCTGGAGGTGTCGAAGACATGGGCAGATGTTGTGCTGAGGGACATGGTTTAATGGTGTTGACGAGGCTAAGACAAAGGTTGGACTCAATCTTAGAGGTCTCTTCCAACCGAAACTGTTCTACAGTTCTATACTCTTCAGTGAGCACCCTGAGATGCTCATGGGGTCCCTATGGAGAGGAGGCAGCACAGGGCCAGCCTTCACAGAATCACCGAAGGGTTTGGGTGGAAAGAGACCTTAAAGACCCCCCTGTTCCAAGCCCCTGCCACAGGCAGGGACACCTTCCTGCAAGGGTGCTCTGGAGCACCTCACGGTGCCTCTCGGCATGTCCCCACCCCATCTGCCCGTGCCCCAGGGGTGCAGACAGCAGCGCCAGGCACATGGGACCTTGTCTTCCCGCTCTCAAAATGGGGAAATGGCTCTTTAATGGTCGGGAGGTGGTTTATTTGTTTTAACTGCCGCACAATCAGAGCTTGAACATAAGCAAAGGCCAGAACTAGCCCAGGGAGAAGGGGACTTTCTAGAAAACACACACATAGAGAGAGACATGCACAAACATACAGATATTATAAATGCATGCACACTTTTTTCTCCCCTTGGTTTTTTGTTGTTTTTTTTTTTTTTTTGCTGAGCTGGCGAGAATGGTGGGAGCAGAGCCAGGAAAAACAAATCAGTCCTACCATCCCATTCAGGAAGTTTCACTTTAAACCAAACCAGATGATGGCTCCAGCCCTCAGATATGTTTAACTGTGAGATAACCAGCCCGCAGCACAACATGCCAGGGAGGAGAGAAAATAACCCCAATTCCCCACGGCTGCTCCACGTCATGTATGCACCGTGCCCTCCCTGCAGAGGAGCAGGACCTGGTGCGCGGTTGGTTTTTTTTTACCCTCCTAGGAACACCTCCCTCTGTGGAGAAGTTCCCTTTTGCTATTTACATGGTGCTCACAAGCTGTTGATGGCCAGGGACTAAGCTGAAGCCACGCACCGAAGGACATCCAGGGCGGTGGGGAAGCCAAGCGCCCGCCGCGGCGCAGAGCAGGGGGTTGTCCGCCGCAGGCTCGGCCAGGCGTTTGCTCAACCACAGGAAGAACTTGTTTCCAGCCCCAGATGGTGATCATGTTGTACCATCAGACCAGGAGGACGGAGAGAGAGCCCGAGAGCTCCGTTTAGCTCTTGTGCAATTCTGCACTCCCAGCCCACGGGTTAACCCTCTCGGGCTTATTCCACCATTGCCTTGCACCGCAGAAGAGACAGGGTAAGGTCAGCAATGTGCAGTCATGGCTCACAGGACAGCCCTAAGAGTGCAAAAATCTTTAATCTTACCAAAGAAGGGTGCGAGGATCACAAAAGGAGGTCCCCAGCCCAAGGTCGTTCAAAGCCAGCGAGAGATCAAACTCCAGAGCCCCCGGAGCAGGCTACCAAACCGAAAATGCTCCCTTACACACGGCTGATCACTGAGGCAGAGCCCTGGGGAACTCATTTTTGACTGGTGGCTCAGCAGCTTTGCTCAGTCATGCACAGCGGCTTCGTAGTGGTTTGGTGGCTGAAGAGTGGGGCTGATCCCACACCAGACCCCTGCCCAGCTGTCGCGCGAAAGGTGACCCAGCACGACTCAGCTACGGGCACTGGACGCCTGCACAAAGCCCAAGAGCTCAGCCCACCAGGGGAATAACCCAGGGGAGCTGCTGGCCCAGGCAGCTCTCCCTGAGCCAGGTACAGCTGGCTACTCGGTGTGAGCCCCAAAGGGGAGCAGAGCTTTTCTGAAGCACCACAACAGCCAAGGTCTGGGTCTGGATTTGCTTAGGAACTGCAATTTAATAACGCTTTTTGGAAGAGGAGTCAGCTTGAGAGCTGGCCTGATGTCCACACAAACCACTTGGGAGAGGAGAGGTAATCACCCCTGCCCTGCGCACCGTGCTCATCCCTCACATGCCCTCCTCACCACAAAATCAAACACCCAATGATACCTTCAGCCTCACTCTCCCTGCCACAAGCCAACCGTGAACATCCAAGAAGCCCCTTAACAAAGCATCTTTTTACGCCTGCCAGCACACTGGTACCCAAAGCGGGGAAAAACTAAGTCCAATATTACTTCCGAGGGTGTGATCTGCCCACTGCACTCGCTGCCGTAAAAGCATCCTTTCTTTCTATTTAACCACCCAGACACGCAAGGCCGGGAAGGCAGGTGAGATGCAAATCCCAGTTGCTTGGACTGTTTTTCCCCATATTCACACCTCGGCAGCGGTACGCACCAGCAGCAGTTTCCAACCCTTTGCTTGGTTTCTCAAACGACTGTCAGTAACTTAACTGGCAGTTGCCAGCTTCAGGCTGTAACTGGGAAAATGCGCCCACTCAGCTCCGGAGCAGTCCAGGAAAGCATTCCTAATTCCCCCTCCCAATCCCAGCTGGATTGGGGGAGGCAGGGAGGGGAGAAAAGAGCATCAATTGAGGCTTTCACTTCCCAGCAATGATGCTCATCTGCCACCGAAAATTAACTCCGTGTGCGTCTTATTTTCGCTGCGGTTTGCTCTCCGTGGTTGCCAAAAGGGAAATGATACCCCCTCCTCCCCCACAGGCTCATCCCGTGGCCGCAGGAGCCGGGGATCGCGGGTCTCAGCACCACAGCTCCTGCCGGACCCTGTCCCGGCCGCGTTGCCTTTACTGACACGGGAATAAAGACCTCTCTGCACTTCACAGGTGAATTTTCTAAGGACGTTCACAGCTGTGGCAGGTAAAAACGCGTGGTCTTCTCTAACTGTTCACTCCCAAGAAGACTTAAGGACAGAGAGACCTGATCAGAATGGACCTAGCATCCACATGCAGGTGCAGCGACCCAGAGGACCCCACCTGGACCTTGCACCAGCTGCAGCACCCACAGCCCGGGGCTCTGCAGGGGTGCGGGGCTGCCGGAGGACCCGGCACTCACCTCCCGGGCTGGTCGGGGTATTTGTGTTTGCAGTACGCCTCTAGCGACGCGTATACCTTCTCTCGTAACGCCTCCACTTCAGCTGGGTTGGAGAGACCTTTCGAGTCTGAAAGGCAACAAAAGGACCATCAGCCAAAAACCTCCAGGCTTTGCAGGCAGGCAAGGATCCCCCGTGCATCCCCTCAGCTCCCTTCATCTCTCCCAGCATCACCAGACCAGGGCACAGTGTGGATGCAGGGGCCGAACCCCAGGAATTTTGGGCAGGATCTAACACCTCCTGGGGAGTGCACAAGCCCTGAAAGGTTTGCCTGCAAATCTATTTTACTGCACCTCATACCCCAGCCCCAATTGTTTTGGCTCATTCTAGTGGTCACGGATTCTCTTAAAGGGTTTAAGCCCCCCCTTCAAGTCCTGGGCTTGTGCGATTTCTCCCTCCAGCACGAAGCACTGTGGCAGGGCTAAACTAAAAACCTCAGCTCTGGCAAGTGCCCCATGACGAAGCAAGGATCTGTTTTTAGTAGGGTGAAAGGGGCAGTCAAGCAATTGATATCCCCAAGTACATGCACCACGGGAACCTCTCCCCGTCTTTTACCATATACGGCTAATCCCAAATTACAGACAATAAATTACTTGTGACTCCAAGGGGAGGGGGGGAAAGAAAAAGAAAAGTCAAGCAGGAAAACAAACCCAATACAGCAATAAAGCAAGGCTGAAATGCCCTCTCCTGGGTTCGGTGGGAAAGGCCAAAGAAAAAGCTGAGCTTCGGCACAAACCATGCTCCTGCGAGCACAAGGAGGGGAAGGGGGGACGCAGGTCTGTCCTTGGCTGCCATCTGCTTCTGCTCGGGATGGACCCGCTCTAAAATCAAAGGAGGGGTATCTGCAGGCTGGCAGCCCGTCTCCTGCTGCGGAGGGGCTTTGCTCTCTGAAATGCCAGAGACGACCCACGGCACTGAACCTCGGGCAGCTGGGGCCAAGGGGGAAAAGCGTGAAGCCTCCTGGAGTCTATAAAACTAAGCAAGCTGCAGACAGAAAAAAAATAAGAGTTCTTGCACATTTTATGAGCACCTTTCAGGCAGAGGGCTTTTCCAGAAACACAATCAGGAAACAGAGGACAACAAGGTCCATGCTCTAACTTTGCTCTAACCCGTATTTTTGTCTTAAAGGATATCTAGATTCATTTTTGCTCCTACTTGGGGATGACTCCCTCAAGCACCAGAACTTTCTTTTCACAGGGTCATCCAAAACACTGAAAATAGGCAGAATGTGTATGCTGATCCAGCCAAAGCCCCTCGAGCTCTGTAGAGATCTCAGCCCCTCAGTAGGAGTCAGCTCCAAAAGCAGCATTTGCCACCTCCTCGGATGATCGCAGCCAAGTCCCAGCCAAGGCTGGGTCCTGCATTGGAGAATATTCCAGACTGTGAAACCCTTCTGCCTTCCATGATGGGAAAAACACCCTGTGGGAAGGGAAGCCTGGAGAGCAGCCCTGGGCATGGATCCAGCATCATCCCTGACCTCCAAAGGACGGGCTCGTAAGGTGGCAGATGCAGGTGCAGCTCTTAATCTGGCTTTCACTCTTGCTTCTCTTCCCTCTTGCCCCGTCCTTGGGAGCTGGGTGCCCTCACTTATTTGCAATGGAGCGTTCCAGGTAAGAAGAGCAGCCAAAAGGACATGGTCTCAGCAAAGAGAGAAGGTAACTACACGTACCGGGGTTGAAGAGGACAATGGCTCGCAGGCAGCCCAGCTCTGTCTTGTCCATCTGCATGTCTCGCATTTTTGACACGAGTTCTGTCAGTACTCTGCAAAGGACACAGAAATAACGCATCAGCATTGAAAAGAAGTCAAAAACACACCCAGGTGTTAAACCCAGGCAGGTCCTCCGGTGCATGGTTAATGAAGTCATGGGATAGTGCTCGCTTGTACCAGCTGAGGATGTGCCCTCATTTTCCTCCTGGATCAAAAATAGCTCGTTAGGAACATCAATAGTTCCTGTGAGATACAACAGGGACCATAATTGGCTTCATACATTCACTCTGAGGCTTTGGCACCTGAGAAAACTGCCTAAAAATAAAAAATAATACTATAAAAAAACCCCAACAGGTATCTAAAAGCAATTTCCTCTGCCGGTAATTTTTATTACTCCCGTTGCTCTGACTGCAGGTGCCGGTCTTGAAATATTTTCCACTGATTGCCCAGTTTTTCCTGTCAGATCCTGCAGTGAAGTCATGATCTTTCACTCGTGACCTCACAGGGAACAACTGACGTCACCGAGGTCCAAAGAACAATTTCCTTGCAAAGCAAAGAAGCAAAGGCGATTTGGTTTCAACTAAACCATCTCAAGAGGAGTCTCTGGCAGAGAAATCAGCCACCATTTCAGTGGTGTCTGAAGCCCCACTGTGGGTCAAACACCCTGGAATTCTTGCTTTAAAACACTTTCCCAACGCACGAGACTAAAGAGCCCTCAGGATACGCATGTGGAACCTGCTGGGTATTTCTGGTGCTTTTTCATTGCAAAAATAAAATCACGTCTTGGTCCAATTAAAGATGAAAAGAAATAAAGGAGCAGCCTCCTCGTAACGTTGGAAAGCATCTGGACCCCATGAAAGAGGCTTTGATTTGCACCGGGCAGCCCCTCCCTGAGTATTTCGGGCTGATGGTTTCTGCAAGTTTCAGAGGAGGGAATTAATGTCGTTGCCTGCAGCGAGGACCACGACATTTCCATGGACACATCCCCATCCTCCAGCAGGCTGCAACGTGGGGAAGGCAGGCACACCAGAGAGATGGGAATGTCTAGGCAAGGTGGCCCAAGAGGTGTTCCCCACCACCCACCCATCCATCCATCCCTCCATGCACCCACCTGTCGAAGATGGCCCCGACGCCAGCGCTGTGCGCGCTGTTCCGGTGCACGTGGAGCCCAGTGGCTAAGAGAATCCCATCTTTCACAGCTATGGAGCGGTGGGAGAAGGAGGCGATTAGGAGCTCGTTCCATCCTGGGGAAGAGAAAACAACCGAGGCCACAAGTTAGAGCCACGTGGTGGGGAATCGGCAACATCATCTCTTCAGTGCTAAAAAGAGAGGAAGAAACCGCTCCAGAACCGCTTTTGCTAGAGTAACGTGGCTGGATGTGGGAAGGGAGGGGGGAGCCAACCCCTTCTTGGATGCCAGAGAAGGAAAAAAAACTGTTAAGGAACAAATGCACTAAAAATACAGGGCTAATAAGGGAAACAGTTTGTAAACCTTGTAGGCACCAGAGCAAACAGCTCTCTGCCCTGCTCCTCTCACCATGAGCCTACAAGTGGCTGTAGAGTCCCACATTCCCCCTCTGACCTTACACTCCCCACCCCTGGGCAGTTAAAGACCTATTAACGCTTTATATCAGCTAATTTGGCTGATTTTCAGGCTGTAATGGGGCACAAAAGTTTATTCATCATTATTCAGCTGTGCAAACCAGGCCCTTGAAAACACCTGCTTGCAGATTTGGACCTGCCTCCCCATCTTCCAGATCCCCTTCCTAACTTAACACGTCTTCAAATCCTTAATTCTGCTGCCAGCTGAGTTCAAGAACGCCCAAAACAAACTCATGACCAGATGAAACGCTGTAAAGTTTTGAAGAGTGGAAATTTTGGTGATATTGAACCAGAAGCAGCATCTTCAACGAGCCCAGATGGGTCTTCTGCAACCCTCGGGAGTCTCACACTCATCGCATCACTGATTTATCCAGCCTGAAAATGTTCCGGTGTCCAGAACACAGGGCTGCTTGGCAGGGTCCAGAATCGTCAGGACATCTGATTTTATTTTTTTGCCTGGATTTAAAAGCAATACAACAACATCCTTCACCTCCTCTCCTGCCACAGAAACATGTCTTTTCACACCTACTGGAATAAATACAAGGTCCGTGTGTGCTGCATTTACCTACTGTTGCAGAGCTGGTGCCATTAGAAATGTTGACAAGGAATAAAGTTCACTCTTTCCTAAGTGGCCACAGGATGTTTCCACCCCGACCATGGGAACATTTATTTGGCTATTTACCGGGCGAGGCCTGGCGCTTGCAGAGGGATTGCAACACCATGAAACTCAAGGAGGATGGAGGAGATGTGAGACAGCACCAGGAGCCTGCAGGAACCAAAGAGGATCTCCCAGAGCCAGACCCACAGAAAAGTGCACTGGGTGCCCTCCTACCAGCCACTCCCACTGTGCTTTCATCAGAGCATCCCCAAAAAATAATTTAAAAAAAGCAGGAAAAATTAGGTACAACCACAGGCAGCACATCTGAGTTAGGGATCAAACAAGTCTACCCGAGGAGTTTCGCATTTCAGCCCAAGAAGCAGAACAGATTTCTATGACTCTTGTGACTCCTTTTTCATCAAATAAGGTGGCTGCAGCCTCAGAGGATCCTCTGGGGTGGGGAGGGCACCCGGCAGCACAGTGACCATCCTGCTAAGCCATCTCTAGCCCTAGGAAACGAACTGCAGCTGCAGAGATGTCGTGCTCAGCATCCTCAGCCAGGCTGGCCTCCACGCAGGGAAAACAGCAGGTTATTCCTGTCTCAGCCATAGCAAGCTTGGAAACAAGAAAACCCAGGGAAAACAAGCTTAAAAAAATGGGTTTCTTCCTCCTCCAAAAAGCTCAGAGAGGGAAGACTTCTAAATGATTCAGGATTAGAGGAAAACTACTGCCGGCCCACCCAGCACCACTGCTCCAAAGATGCGTGCTCCACTTAATTTTGCCTCCAAGGATGCATGACTGAGCCTGACTGATGCTCGTAGCTAAATTTTAATACTTAAATATTTCATGGGCAGCTGTTCTCAGCAGGCCACTCTCCCCACTCAATAATAGATAGAGCCACTGGTTAAAAGACTTGGGGAGGTTATCTGAGGCCCCGACAGAGATGCTTGGGGCAGGGAGCCCGTCGGAGCTGCTCCAGGTGCTCAGCCCATCCTACGGCCAGGGGGCTAAAGCTACCATGAAATCTGGGATGTGAAGGGGTCTGCAGCCCCCTCCCCTGCCCCATGAAGCGGCCACTCCAGCTCGGAGCTGGTCAAAACAAGCACCAGCACAAAGGAGAGAACATCAGGTCAGAAAATCCGCAGTTCAGCTTTCATTTGCCTTCATCTGAAGAGAAAGGAAAACCTTGAATCGTTGTTGTGGGTTTTGCTTCCATTTCACTACAGAAAAAAAGGCAGCTTTTTGTCTGAATCCAGTTCTTCCTTTTGATATTTGCAGAAAGCCCTCCAACATTTCTATAGAGATGCTTCCACTCCTCATCCACTCTCACAAGAGGCTCTAGAGATGCTCTTCAAAAATAACGCTTTTTGTATTTTCCAGAGAGGGCCCTGAGCCAGCTCTGGCAAGACTCACACCCACGGAGAAGTCACAGGAGCACCTTTTCCAAAGGGCTAGCAGGGCATGGGACTTGGCCACGACTGCAGCCCAGTCTTGCCCTTCACATGGAGTTTTGTCATTTGCTGGAAGCCGCTTCATCTGTCCCACTGACAACTTGCCTTCCTCTTTGTTTAAGGGAGAAAAGCTCTCCTCTTCGCCAAGCCAAAGCCTTTTTGAATCACTTATCTGATGCCTGGAGCTCTGCAAAGAGCTTCACGCCTAAAATACACCCTCGTCGAGCTCTGCTCTTGATTTCTTGCCCTCCCCGGTCTTTGTGAATAACCTGCCAGCAGTAGGGCTTGAATTTAATCAATAGAAGAAGACCCTTTTCACAGCTAACTGCTTTTCTTCACCTCCCGAGGCCTCCGTTCCTGCAGACCCCCTGCTGCAGAAGGAAATTTAAAATAAGCCCAGAGAATTTTATTTTCATCTTGGTGGGTGGGAGAAGGAGGCTGATATATATTTTTTTTTTCTCCCCTCTCTGGTTTTAATTATGATCAAACATCTCAAGTTTGATAAAATTTCATAGAGCCCCAAGCCCACTTGGTTTTTCAAGCCCCAGCCTGGGAGGAAGGCAGCGCGTCGCTGCCTCAGTTTACATCCCCCAGCGCGCCCCTCCGAGCGCCTCACTCTTCGGAGATGAAGCCGGGACACTTCTCAGCTGACTGGCAGCTGGTGCAACATTTTGGATTGCATTCAGCGACACGTCCCTCGAGGCTTTTTTGAATCCTATTTAATTATCAGAGGCGATTACTAAGAATCAGTTAACGGCTTTCAAGTTGCCCGGGACCTAAATCTAAGCGCAATACCCATTGCGGGTGAGATGGAGCAGTCCTGCGGCCCCGTGCCACACGTGGGGACGGTTCCTACTCACCTGCTCTGAGCAAGATGACCTGGTCGTCCAGGGGCAGCTCGGAGAAGTGGGGGATCCTCTTGGCCCACTCCACCAGGGTGAAGAGCTGTTTGTCTGCCGCCTGGCATATGTTCGTCACCGGGTCATTGGGCTGCCAAGACAAGGAGATGGAAAGGCTCAGAGAAGGCAGAGCGAGGAGAAGAGGAGAGGCGGGGGGAGCTGCCGAAGGGGCTCGATGCCTCACTCCTGCAGGGACCTCTAAGTTGCTAGCACCCCAAAAGTGAACTTTATCAGTCAGAGGGAAAGAAGGTGAGCTGGCTTCTCCACCACATGGTTTTAAATAGCTTTTAGCAAGCTCCGAAACAGGAACCAGGAGTGCTGAGACCCACCATCCATCACACTGACTGATGAACCAAACGAGCTCCAGCCCAGGGCAAGGCAGGCTCCTGCACCCGTGCAGCACGCACGCTCCCCGTGCCAGCATCTCCCAGCTCGATAAACCAGCACCAGAGGGGGCATTACAGGAAAAAAGAGAAAACCCCTTCCCTTTGAAATATTCTCCAGCAACAAAAACCATCTGCTCTCAAGGAGGACAATCAGCCTAAACACACCAAATCCCTGTTTAAAGGAACTGCTAACAGCTCGAGTGGGCTTGTGATTAGGAACTGGAGGAGCCTGTCTAACCCTGGCAAAGACAGACCTTGCTAGTGTAAGTGTATATACAGGGTTTACCCCTCTCGACAGGGAGGTATGGCTCCCTCCACGTACCTCACTGTAAGCCCTGCTGATATGTAGCAGCTTTGATTGTACAATTATTTTTCTTCCATGTCCTTAAAAGAGCAGTTTCCAAATCTGAGGAGGAGGAGTGTTTACTTCACCCCTGGATTGCAGGGGGAAGGGGTGTGAATTCAGAGCAGACACGAACGCGAGCGTAACCTCTCCCTCCGGCAAGTCTCAGTTTCAGCAGAACAAGGTCATTCCTCACCACGAGCCGGCTGCGCTTCGGCAAACCCCTTTCCCAAGGCTGAGCAGAAGACGACGACACTTCTAAGTCTCACTTCTCCCCAGACCCCTGCCTGGTCCCCTTTGCTGTCCCCTGGCAGCAACCACAATCTCTCTGCCTCAGTGGCCGACGTCTCCCGTTCTCTAGGCTTAAAATAACCAGCCTCTGGCAAGCTCAGGGGCACCTGCCTTCAAAATATTTTCACCTGTTGTGTGTGGAGATGGATGGGAATGGGCTCACATTCAGCCGCGCAGCTCAGAAGCTCGTTACGGGGATTTTGTCCGTTTCCAGTGGTGCAAGGGGAGCAGAGCCATGCTCCAAGGGAGCTGGGGCTCATCCCTGGGGATGGATATGTGAGCGGGGACTGGGCTTTTCCCCTGGAGAGGGATGTAAAACGGGATTTCTTCTGTACAACAGGAAAAGCCTGAACTGGGTGTGAGGAGATGCTCGCAGGGTTAAGTGTTTCACTGGAAAGACGGGGAACATCAGCATTCAGAGACCCTTGAGGAAGGGTGAGAAAGGACACCCATGGTTTGGGCTATGGTGATGGTGTTCCCATCACCAACCTCACGTCCCCTGAGCTTGGTTGGCAAGCTGGAGCATCCAGCTGGAGATCCTGGGTGTCCTGGCTCCCACAGGGTGGGATGGGGACAGAGCCCTCCATGCCACAGAATGGGACATGACACAAAGCAACAAGTGTCTCCACAGCCCCATGGAAAGGGTGTTTTAGGAAATTTAGATGGTTTTCTAAAGCTTTTCCCAGGGGTTGCTTCTGAGCAGGTTGTCACCACCTCTAGGACTCACTCTGACTCAGCAAGCCAGGCTCTGGGTCTCCCAGCCCAGGCTGTATCACGGCTGCTGTGCAGGCAGCACAAGCTGTCCCCAGCCTTCTGTGCTTCATACAAAAAAAACCTCAGCGAGGGGCCCAGCCTTTAATTACACCTCAGATGGCAGTTCCTGGAACTGCCACGGTGCTTCCTGGCAGAACTTAAGCACTGTAGCTTGAGAGGCAGCTAAAAGTATCATCCCTGCAGGCTGAAGGGCCCTGCCTGTCTCCAGAAGGGGATCTGGGGATCTGCAAAGCAGTGCTAGAAACCCTCCCCGCGCACGGTAAGCAAATCCCCTCCTGCAGTAAATAGCAAGGGCACGGTGCCGGAGTGTGACAGAATGAAAGGACACGCGGGTACCTGATCCTTCTGGAAAACTGGAGCTTGGAAGCATCTTCCAGAAAATGGTGACTTGAAACCAGCTGCTCAAAGGCCAATTAAGAGCTAATGGGGATAACACCTCTCAGTTACAGGCTTTGCCTTTCAGTGGCCAGAAGCCCATCTGAGGTGATGCTTAGGCTGCAGGAGCCCAGATTCAGCTGCCAGGGACACGGGGAGCAGGTTTGCAGGGGCACATCCCTCTGTCTTAGCTGCTTTCTGCCTGCCTCAGCATCCTTCCCCATCCTGTCCCTGCCGCCCAAACGGATCACGCCCTTGCACCATCATGGGCTTCAAACCACGACTGTGCCCCATCCTCTCTCTGTCAGTCCCACACTCAGCCTCAGAGCAACACGCTTGGTCAGCAACGTGTTTAGACACCACAGCTGCTGGGACAGGTCACAGGCTGCAGCTACCCTGCCCTCCCCTTTCACCAGGTCCGAGGACTCTGCTGAAGCCCCACAGCTGGGTCCCACACTGTCCTGGGTGGAAGAAATCGGTGATAGTGCCAGCCTGGCAAAGCAGAGGGATCTCCTTCAACCGGAGTTGGGCTCCCTGCTCTCAGAGCAGCCAGGGATGAATGGCACAAGGTGACAGTCACAGACATGAGAGCATCTGGGAGAGGAGGGCGTTACCTCCTGTAGCAACCTGCCACCTCTGTTCCAGCCTGGCACAGCCCGGTGGAAACATCCCTGCAAGTGCTGGGGCTCTCCAGCTCACCGGCAGCATTCAGTGCAGATGGACTAAGGTGCAGGGCTCAAATGAAAGGACCCAACATTGCAGGCTAATAGGAAACAGCTTGTTTCTTACCCCGTGTCTATTAAAATCTGAACTTATCTGCCTTTCCATTGCACGGGCTCTCTGGGGAGGGCTGGGAGGAGGGCAGCTCCTCCGTCTCCCCTCGCCTCATCCGGTGGCCTCGTCACTGTGAGCTGCTGATCTCATACATCTGCTAAACCTGCTACAAATGTCACCTCATCGACAGGAGCCGCTTGACAATAACAGGGCATTTCAACAAGCCTCCTGCTTCTATTTAGATGCAACACACATCCTTGTTCACAGTAATGCGTGTTGAATTATGCAGGAACCAGCTTTCAATTTGCTACAAGAGGCTGAGGGGATGCAGTGCCAGACGAAGCCATTTATTTCAGCTCGCTCTCTGGGGTTTGTTTTCAAGTCAGCACAAGGCTGGCTACAACTCCCCTGAAGTATTTTTAATCCCGATAGCCATGAGAGCCTCTCCAAGGCCCTCACTCACCACAGCTGAGCTGCCTCCTCCAAAAAAGCCTCTCACATGGTGATGGGACCCTTGGGCTGGAGGGCACTGCTACCTGCAGGGTGCACCTGGGCTCCCAAACACAGGGATGCACCATGGCCCTGTATCTGCTTCTGGACTGTTTCACCAAGGAATTGGCTCTTTCCGCAGCAAGAAGCCTTAAGCACTGAAAAGCCCCACCGGGAAAGCCAGTCATAAAGTGTCCTTGTAGGTAAAGGCCAGAAAGAACATCCCATAGAAGCATTCAAGACTTAAGACTCCTACAAGGATCTCCTGTCAAGCCCTGCCAGATAAGGTGTTTCTGGCTCAATCCTCCAAGCTTTATATAAAAAAAAGAGATAAACTATTATTGTAGCAGAAAATAAATACTGCAGAGTCCTTCCACTTGCTAGAAATAGCTGCATTTCATCATCTCAGCCTCACAGACACCTAGCACAGAGCAACTGGAAACGCAGAGTGATATTTCACCCTACGATCCTGCTCTCCTGGGCTAGCCAGCCTGCAACCTGGCCCCACCTGAAGGCCTGTGAGAGGATGACCCCCAGGACCAGCCTCTCCCCTCCTCAGCAGCAGTGCCCCCTCGCGCTAGCAGAGCATGCCGGGGCGGGATGGTGTGTGCCTGCCAGAAGGCATTGCCAAAAGGCAAATGCGGATCGAAACACGTGCAGCTGACCCCGGCCCCAAAAACACGTGCACAACAGCGCACGGCAGCTTAATCCTTTCCTCTCCCCCTCTATCTCTTCGCTTTGAGATCTCCCCATCCCTCAGTATTCCAGGGTTCCCCTGGTGTGGGGGTAATTATTAGTCCCTATTATTAGGGGTAATTATTAGACCCTATTATCAGTCGCCCCAGTTGCACTCCTACTTTCTCGAGGCATTCCACCACCAGCACCACCTTCATGGGAACAGGGGCTATTGAGGACTGCTGCCTACACTGGGCAGCAAGTCCTTCCTCGGCAAGTTGTGGGGGCTTTGCACAGGGTCTATCCTAGAAACGGAATTTCAGTGGATAGGCTGGCTCTCACATTTGGAGGTAGCTGCTTTGCAGGGAGGCTTTCTCTAAGCTAGGCTACAACCTGCTGACAAGGGAATGTCTTAGGAAATGGACCAAGACAGTTTTCCTCATCACAGCTTCTCACTCTCCTCCTATTTCTCTGTCAGCTATCTCTTGTTTACACAAGGTCCTGTTAGAGCCCAGACACTTCTAGCAGGCCCAGTTACATAATGCAAGCTTCTAAATGGGAAAGGAACATGAAAGCAAACTTCTCAGCAAACTTCTTCAGGTTTTCTCTTCTTAGAGCCAAGCAGCTACATAATTCAGCATCTGAAAAGTCACACCCTAATTTCACAGCTTATCTCTTCGCACTTCAGCCACACAGGTCTGTTTATTGCCTTGATTGGACTCTGAGCTCTTCAGAACCTGGAGTGTCTTCCTGCCTTTTAGCACTATAAAATAATGCTATAAAATAAAACCTTCTCTGTGAGCCCTTCTAAATATGCCTTAGAGTACCTTTTCCTTCCCTACGGCTGTGAGGCAGAAAAGCACCGATGTGGCGCTTGCACAGGAGCAGAAGGGTTTGCTTTCCTCATGCTTTCATCTAAGCTCACACACGGCACCCACAGCAGGGCTAAGAAGTTGTATTTCTAAGCGCCATGTCTTTTCCCATCAGATAACCCCTCTCTGACCCAAGCTCGCTGCCGTATTCGCCATAGGTCAATCCTGACGCCCCACAAGCCATCCCTTCCGCCTTGAGTGCCCAGGACGGGGCTGGGGCCAAGGGGAGAGGTGCCTTACCGAGCTTGGCGTCAAGCCCATATTTGCTTCAATGTACGTCTCTGTCTTTGGCTCCACCGCAAGTTCAGCTTCCAAGATCTTTTCCACAGGCATGTCCTCGTTGGCGCTACTTGTTGACTCCACCTCATTCTCGTTGCGGTCCTTCCCCCGCTGCCTCTCCTCCTGGACGGCTGGAAGCGACAGAGAAGAGACAGTGTCAGCCTAAGGACGCTGGCCGTGGTGTCACAGGCTGAGCTGGGACCCCGAAGCTCCACCAAGCTACAAGCGTTATCATGAAATCCTAAAACATGCTCAGACCTGTGAGATCACACACACTTGACATCTTGTTCTCCCACCTGACCTCTCCACCAGCGCGGGCTCGGGTTTGGATAGCCCAAGGGGTGTGAGGTTTGGGGATGCTGCCGAGCAGCCCTGCCCTGGGAGAGCTGCTCCGCGTGTGCTCCCCTGGGAGTGCGGCGAGGAAGGGTCCTGCTCTGACCTAGCCTATACTGGGAAACTCCCCTTTCTGCAGAGGGAGAGACCCTGGAAACAAAACGGTTCGAGACAAATGATGAAAAGCAAAGGAAGCAAGATGGCAGAAGGGAAATGAGATGAAGCAACAACATAAGGGAATCCCAAAGAAAAGAGAAATCGGTCAGTTTAATGCCTGAGTCCAGAGTTCAACCATCTTCCGAGCCTGCTAGCGCTGAATTTCTGTGGAGGTCATGTCAGACCCCCAGTTCCCTGGTCCAGTAGCGATGCTAAGGGCTGCCGGGAGGCTCCGCGGCAGGAGGGTGCTGCCGTGGGACAGGGGCTGGGCGCAGGGATCCGCCGGCGGCGCTCTATGCAAACCACCACCCTGTCCCGGCTCCGGGCAATTCCTAAACAGACAGGAGAGACCTGTCCCAAATCCTGCGAGGCAGGAGTAATCTAGCCAGAAGCATGTCACATGCCGACGAGTTAACGTCTGAGCAGTAGACAGATGAAAAAACACTTATTAGATGCTAATAACATTACTATTAATGACCTCCTTTGAAACCAGTACCCAGGCTTTCCCTAAACCTGGAAAGTAGCTTTGTGCAGTCACACCAGGAACTATCTCCTTCTCAATCTCCATGTTCCATACCCTAAATCACACACTTTTCCACACACCGTTGATTCCCACAGGACGTTTCAGCTCAGTCTAGCTGAGAACAGCCCAAGCAACTGTAGTTTCCACCACTGCTCATGAGAAACAACTCCCTGAACTCACCCAGCCATTTGTCGAGGACTGAACATAGGCATTCAGTAATGTGCTATTTATTGACAATTTTCCCAACGCTTCACCTCTCTGCTGAATTTGAAGCTGGTTATGTGATGTTAAGAGAAAGCAGCAGAGGCTCAGGGAAACCAGAGCTCTCTGTGACACAATAAGGCTCTTTAGGCAATCGGTGGGACCGAGCTCTACGTCAAGTGCAAAAAACAAAACCTAGAACATAAACCTTATTTCTTAAAACCCAGGAAATTTAGGCACATGTTAAAACAGCCCTATATGGAGGCTGATCCCATTAACTCAGCTCCACCCCAGCACACGAAGCCCTGGGGCTGGTTTCCACCGCTCGCCCTCCCCGTTGCAGCGCAGCGCTGCTCCTCGCTGCACGTCAACAGTGCTCAGACTCCTGCCCTGTGAAAGCTGCTATGCAAAAAATAAAAAAAAAAAGCAACAAAACAACCAGAGCTTATTTTTTTTTTGCCAACTGCTCTGAAGTTTACAGGCTGCAGAGGCTCCCGAGGCCCACGCAACGTTTTCTGCTTGGGCTGCCAGAGCCAGGTAAGCTGCTGCTCTCAGAGCTCAGATCTGTGTCGTGGCTTTTGTCCATCTGGCTCTCTTCACTTTTTCAGGCCAACATAAAACCCTGCTTACGTTTCTCCCCTCCACCCCTACTCCTGCTTTCTCAATCATCAAAAGGCTAGAAATTTTTGCTTAATGCCAACCTTTCTTCCACAGCGCAGATGCACCAAAACTCCTTGGGGCACGTCAGAAGAGATGAAACACCTACTAAATAACAGAAATGCCTAAGAAAAAGGCAAACTCTCAACTAATGGGATTTTATGTAATTACTTAAATGCCGAAGACTTGATGCACAGTCGCAGCAGGTCTCAAGGATAAAGGTGCAAAATGCGGTTCGTTGCTCTGAGATCAACCACTTCCACCTCTGGAGCCACTCTGCCGGGAAGGGCTGTTAGTCCAGAAAACAGGCTGTTAGTCCAAAAAACACATCTTCTTGCTCAGCTGCCAGTGACTTAGCTGGACATCCAGCCTGCTCAGCCCCCCACAAAACCCCTGCCCAGCTGGCTGCTGGCAGCAACGACACACCAGGCAGAGCAGATGGCAGATTCTCACCGAGGAGACCAGGTCCAAAGACAAACCAAGCCCTTGCCAGCCAGAGCATTACCTGCTTTGCTACCCCCATGTCGCCGAGACAGCCCTCTCCAAAGCCACGAAAAGCTTGGCATCACTTTGTGATCCCCCCCACAGCCTGGATGACCCCTCCCCACCCGCTGTGCCGGGCTCTCTGGGCTGCAGCAGAGCAGTGACTGTTTCCCTGCTGAGCTCAGAGACATCGTTTTCCTCCCTTTCCCCTGAGAAGAAGCTTTTTCAAAAATATTCACCTAGGTGTGCATCTGCAGCATGAGGTGACTGCACCACGTGAAGCAGCACAGGACACACGTTTCCAGGTGTTTATGAACCCGACCCGTTCCTGCCGAGGCACAGGAGTCCCAAGCTGCTGTTACACCAGCCCAGGCTGCCGTGCCCTTTTCAGAGACGCGGATCCCCCTGCTCTTCTCCCTGTTGATGGCTGTGCCAAAGCTTTTAGTTTTCTTCAAGGAGACTCATACGGCTGAGAGGTTTTCCAGTCTGATTTTCTTAACATAAGGGAAACATTTAAACCTTGCAATCCACTTGAGGAGAAAAAAAAAAGATGTTGCAGTCAAAGAGCTCTGAGAGGCAGCTCCACCTCCGCCAGCTATGTCTCAGCCGAGCCAAGGACAGAAGCCTGTGTTTTCCATGGCACCTGATGAAGAGGCTCTCATGTTATTCTGCTTGATTTGGCTTGTGCTTGCCTAAGGCCGGCTGCTGTCATTTCTCATCTTGAGCTTCTCCAGCCCATCTGCACTTCCCCAGGCCATGGTACAGCAAGATATGGAGCCCCATGTGTCAAGACCAGTTCTCGGTGACCTCTCCCTTTAAGAACCAAAATGTCTTGTCCCAAGGACCGCAGGTGAGCCTCAGCTGACCGTGTCCGAGGGATGACGTGCAAAAATGCCCTATCCACGCCCTGCTCATGTGCACATCAGCGCTGGGCGCCTTGCCTTTGCTCACGGTGCAGACATCTGGTGGCTAAATAAGCAAGTTCGAGTCTGTTGCAAAGTGAGCAACCAACCCAGCTCAGGTGCCCAAACCAACCAGTGAGGGTGCCTGCAGTTGGGAAATTAACTTCCCAGCTGCTGCAGAAGAGCAAGCTGCTCACTCAACCTCCGGGGTGGACCCACTGCTGAGAAGCCTCTGCAGCATCCCCCAACTCCTGCCACTTCACCGCAAGCCTGGCGATGAACGCTGCCAAGTCCCAGCTCTTTGGGTCCTGTGAACACCCCAGAACCCCAATCCTCCAGCAGAAGCTCTTTCCTTTTTAAGCTTTGGGCTGGTGGAAAGAAACCTGATGCTGTGATCTGCAGACTAATAAGATCTTTTTAAAAAAGACGTCGACTGCATGCTCTGTTTCTAAAGCCTCTTCATAGATGCCACGAGGGCTCTCACCGGCGGGTCCCCCATGCTGCAGCACGGACATGCTGGGCGGGCACCCCGCTTTTGTGCCAGAGGAATGTTAATGAGGGGAGGAAAAGGCACGAAGGGGATGGGATTTTCCACCGAGGCAGAGCCCCCGTGGGTTGGAGCGTCGCAGGCTTGTCTGTTTGCTGGGAAAGACGTGGAGGCTGCAGCGGCTCCTAATTACCACTACCCAGCGCTAATACAGATGAGCGCTTGTTTCTGAGACAAAAATCCATCCTTCCCGGAACAACAGCCTGGATGGCTGGCTGGGGTTTGTTTCTTTTCATGGGGGAGGAAGGGGAAGGATAATTCACTCCCACCAAAACTGAACTGAATGGGGCTCTTCTCTGGTGGACAGATCCAGCATCTGGAGTCCCCAGGCACAGGCAGCCCGACGCTGTGGGGACATGTGCCGGTGATGCTCAGCCTGTTCTTGGGCAGCACGAAAGCCGTGAGCAAAGAGAAGGTGCACTTTTGGGTCTTGGCTCTCCCACTCTTCTTAGCACGCTTGGATCCTCTCCCTGCTTCATCCCTTTTGCTCCTGGCCATTCCTGGCAGATGCAGGGATCCACCAAGGCTACAGGGCTGATGACGCTTTCCAGACCACTCCAGCCTGGATTTGGAGTTTTGGGGACACGTCCCTGCATCACCAGGGCACACCACCCTCCTCCTGGAGAGCCCAGAGGTTCTGGTGGCCTCCAAGACCCAAACCTGCTCAGTCTTCTCTGAGCCTACACAGGAGTGGCTGCTTTATTTACGACGTGCTAGGTGGAGGGTTATTGGAGATTTCCTTTTTCACTAGTGGTGGAATTTATTAGGCTCTGCTGCCTTTTTATGATGCTACATCTTTTATGAAGATACGCGTGTATCACCGGCATCTCGAAGAGCTTATGCCTGAGGTACCTGTGCATATCGAAAATGCACGACAGCTGAGGGAACTAATTCAGACAGTGTTTCTTCTGCTTTCCTTTCGCGTGCTTCCTCTTTTTTTCAAAGAGGCACCTTTCTACTACCATAAAGCAACCTCAGAACCTGAGACAGAGGAAATAAATTGAGGTGTTTTCTCCAACATTTTCAACTGAATACTGCGGTTTTTTAAGCCAGGCAAAATACCGCCATGACGACAAAAAGTATAACTTTAGAGTGGTAAAAAGTGGATTGAAACCTTTGCATGCAGTCAGTCCACACGGAGAACAGCTCTGGAAAACAACAGTGAAAAGCGCTAGCTCACTTCACTCTCAAAAGCCAGACCCTGCGAAGTGTAAGCAAACAGCAACATTGCTAAAGTAATGAAACAAAATTATAAACTAAAACAAACCCTTTTTCTCAACCTAAGGGTATCCTTAAAAATAAATAAATAAATAAACCGGCATCACTTAACCAGCTGGTTTAAAGAGCAGCACTTTAAAAGGATGTAAGAAACAAGCTCATTAAGCTGAAAGACATTTTCCATTCCAAAATTATTACTAAAAATAACTGTGCTCTTGAACCCTGCCCCTTCCAGTAGGCCATGGTCACTTGCCTGCTTTTACATTCACTTGGACAGCAGGATGGAGACTTCAATTCCTACTCTTTCTCCCCAGATTCCTCTTGCTGCTGTTGGTCCCGAGACATGCTCCAGGAGCCGGGATGGCTCCAGCTCCGGGGGTGCAGGGGGAGATGCGCAGCCACGGCAGCGGGACCAGGCACAGCTCAGTGACTGCTGGGTGAGTGCAGGACCTGAGCTCCAAGTCACTCAGGGTTAGAACAGGAGGAAACTTCGGTCCCTCTGGACTCAGTGGGGTACCTGAGCAGCTCCCCAGAGACAGGTGGAGGTCTCCAAGCTGCAGACTAGAGTCTCTGCCTGCGATGCTGCAGATCAAACCCCTCCCTTAGCTCGACAGCAGCACCAGAGGGGGAAAATCAACCCAAAAACATGGAGGAAGAGGCAAAATTATCCCAGGCTGTGAAGTTTAATGAAGTTTTGGAGTCGGAGATCAGGCATGCAACTGGACAGAAGATGTCCTGGATCCTCAGAGAATGACTCTGGATCATGTCACGGAGGCTGATGGAGACAAGCCGTGACGGTATCTGCGCCTGGATTTTGGAACAATCTTGGGGGGTCAGCTACGCAGCCTGAGCTGCAGCCGCTGGGGAAGGGCAGCCTTATGGCCTCCAGATGGGCTCCGAGCTTCCCAGCGGAGATGCATCAAAATCCATTTTACCTAGTCGGCATCAAACGCCGCTGTGAGCGCTCGGGCTGTGGGCTTCAGCTTGGCCACTGGTAGCCCTGTTATCAAACCAGGTAGCCCAACAGCTCCTAGCAGAGAGGAGCCGCTCCAGGAGGCAGTGCTGGGGGAAGGAGAGGCGTGAGACGGAGCGGGGCCAGGCTGCGCCGGTTCCCAACGTCTGTCCCTGTGAGCCGTCCAAGGGCCGCCGGAGGGAGCATGAGAAAGGGCTCCTCGCTGGTATTTCCTGCTCGCTGTGCAATCTGGCAGCGTTGCCAGCAACGGTGGGGCCGGGACCTCGTCACACGAGATAGAGACACACCGCAATGTGAGGCCACAAAGTTTGTAGCCTCCGATGACCCCTTTCACCTCTGGAGTTAACCCCAGCTAACGGCAGTGCAGGCGAGATGCCTTCATCCCCAGACCCTCAGTGTTTACTCCCACCTCTTCACAAGACCTCTGTCTCCCTAACTCAAAGGCAGTCTCCAGTTTTTCCCTTTAAAAAATAAAGCTGCTCATGCACAGACACCTCAGACCCTAATGCGTAACAGATCAAACAGAGAGTTATGCTTCTGGATGCAAACAGCCACCCCCACAATAATAACCCCTGCATTAGTCAAGATCCCTGATGGTAATCTTAATTTTGTTGACTATCCGGTATTTAGTGGGAGACGGAGTACAAAAACCAAAGCTTCACTCAGCTGGCAGTCATTCATAGGGGAAAAATGTTCCCACTTGCTTATTTATTATAGCTGCAATACCTCAGAGTCCAAGAGGCTCATTCAGCTCAAATGCGGCGTCAGGATCTATCTTAAATGTTTTTAACGGGGAGCAGCATGCACCAGAAGGAATCGTCTGCTTCTGCAGGCCCTCATCCCTTTAAGCTAAGCTCTGACGCACCAGAAGGCATCGTCTGCTGCTGCAGGCCCTCACCCCTTTAAGCTAAGCTTCAAAGAAATCCCCCATCCTTCCGGCAGCACCCACGGCCACCCCTGCCCCTCACCTCCACAGGTACCTGCTTCATCCACCCTGGCACATCATCAAGGTCCATCCCTCGGGGGCTGCTCCCGGTATGTTCACCTGCAGACCCCCCAGGTGCTGGGACCAAACCCTTCCAGAGCTCCATCAGCTGCCCAAGAGGTCCCGTTGATTTTACTCCTTTATGCCAACCTCTTAGCTGCATAAGAGACCCTTTCCTCTTACCCTTCTGGCACAGGTTTTTGGGTATGAACACGGCCTTCTCCCCTCTTCTTGCCACCATCGCTCTGCAGGTCACAGCACTGCTCATCACCACGCAGGATGCCTTTAACAATTACTCTCCTACCAGAAAGAGCTATGGTACTTCGTCTAGAGGGTCTTACTGTACTTCCATCACATCCAAATACCTTTGGGCCACGGCAGAGATGCTTCCCCAGCAGGGATTTGCGATGCCTTTATGCAGCTATAAATTAGGTCTCCAGAGCAAGGTATTTTTAAGGGAAACAAAGCCCGTTACCCTGGCTCTGTCACTAAAAGATGCAACAGTTTACCCTAGAGGATAAAAAGCCAGCTATGTTGTAAATGAGTACTTAGACAAAAGGAATTGGCAATGAAGGATTTAGCCCAAAACTGCTTCCCAAAACGGAGGTGATGGGGAGGCAGCAGGAAAAGGCTGCTGGCTAGCAAAGTGGATGGGCGGCAGCAGCGAGCTGGGACGGCTGGAAGAGGAAAGAATCCTTTTTTTTTGACAAATCAGGTGGATATTGCACATGAAACTTAAGAGCTGCTCAACACCAAAGCTCAGCAAAAGCTAACTCCTCACTCTCAAGTCTAGGACAACAGGAGGACATCTCTAAACCCGCAACGAGACAGGGAATTTTTCGGGTTATAACAAAAGAGAGCTTTATCTGGGGACTGGAGAGAGTTATTCCTGCTTTCCCTATGTGGGGATTATACCCCAAACATCTACTGCCTGCCAATGCACCGGCTTTCTGTCCTTCTCCAAAGCTATCCTCACGCAGCGCCCGCAGCGGCAGATCTGCCAGCGCTGCCTGAGTGCACTTCCAGAGTTACAAAGGTCCCATCTGTCACACTTTTAAATAATTGGCTGATCGTTATGAATTCATTTGGCATTCATTGTGATAATGTTAATCAAGACGAATTAATAGAGTCCTCACACTGTACGCGGTCCCAGGGGAATTCCGCCACCGTTTAGAAATTAATTAATGGACCCATAATTTTAGCGGCGCTGCCCACACAGTCACCGTGAGCAGTAGGCACGGAGCAGGTACCCGATCCGAGGACATCAGTGCAGGCTACAGAGCTAAAGCATCACTGCTGGTGTTCCCCTCCCTGCGGACACGGGCTGAGGTATTCGAAGGGTCTGAAGAGAATACGGGTCACCAGCTGCAGCGCAGGGCTCTGGGGGCAACGTCAGCGTGACGGATGCTCCACCTCCACCTGCACTTCTCCCCTGAGAAGCAAGTGCTGCTACTGAACACACAGGAGACTTCTTGGCTTCTTTTTAGTCACCTGAGTGAGACTCCCATGGCTGGAGATCAGACTTTCCTCCTCCAGTGGGAGCCAGCACGACCCACAGCTCTGCCCGCCCGCAAAGCAGCTGAGGAGCAGCACCAGCCCCGCACACGAAGTACCGTGCCTGCACTGAGCTGCTCATCTTTAGAGGCTTTTTCTCAATGCCTCAGTCTCTACATTTAAGACATCTGGCAGGCCAGAAAGCTTCGTTTCTGAGCACCCAAGGGCCAAGGAGGTTCTTGGGGTGCCCTCTCCTCTACAACATCCCACACTGCCATCCCCCACAGCCTGAGCAGAGATGGCTTTGACAGCAGAAACATCAGCGTGCCATGGGTCCTTAGGTAACCCCGTAAATCGAGCGTGGCAGGGGCTGCTCAACACCTGGCGCTGCTCTATTTAATCAATGCTCCAGACAAGACTAAGTGCTTTTCAAAGGGATCGGGGCTGGAGCGCTGCTCGCCTTTTTCGTCGAAGGGACGGGTTTATCGGCCGGTCAGGGAGGCAAGTGTGGCTCTGAAGGTGTAAGGGGAGAAGGCAGCAGAGAGCTGAGCGGCACCACGGGGTCATTTTCACATCATGTCTGGGAAAAGGCTGCCCTGCCAGCAGTTTGAAACAGACGCAGTCAGCATTTAAAAAGAGAATTTAAAAGAGGCACTGGCCAGGGAGTTTCAGATCCTAAATTTAAATTCCAGTAAGGTGAGAGACATCTTTTACGAGACTGCATTTCTTCTTTCTTCCCAATGAGAAAAAAACATTATTGCTATTGCTACCAAGTGAGAGCAGCAGACTCTCACGAGAAAGACGATAATTCACTGAGTTTCCCTGCCCCGAGCGAGCCAGCTGTGCTCCACAAACAGCGTGGGAGCCTCTCACCTCCCTGCAGCACCTTCATTAGTAACCAGCGAATTAAATATGGTCTTTAATTTGCCAACGTCCCCTAATCAAGTTCCCTGGGATGCGACACAGGGACTCTGCAGGGAAAGGGAAGACTATTGGGGTATTTAGCGTTGCTGCTCCCAACATGAAAGCAAAACCATAAAAGAGAGACGCACATTTCTGGCGCCCTGGTGCACTCGGTGCGGCCACCGTGCCAGCGGGAAAGGTACCCGCAGCACCCATGGGTGCTCAGGCCAGGCTCTGCCTTACCTTCTCGCTTCATCCCCATGGCAAGACACTTCTGATAGCGGCAGTACTGGCAGCGGTTGCGCTGACGCTTGTCGATCAAGCAGTCCTTGTTGTCGCGGCAGGTGTAGGTGAGGTCTTTCCGCACCGTGCGCTTGAAGAAGCCTTTGCAGCCCTCGCAGCTGTAAACCCCGTAATGTTTACCTGCGGGGGGGATGCGACTCGGGTTAGAAGGACTCACTGAGTGTCCCAGGTGCTCCCTGCTTTGCTCTCCCTCACCACAAAGGCCATCAGCTCTCCCAGGACACCGACACGCTGCTGTGAGATCCACTCAGCCCGGGGCAGGCACCAGCCTTACCTGAAGATCTGTCCCCGCAGATGGCACATATGTGCTTGGTGAAGGAGGCCATCGTTCCTGAGGGATGTGCTGGCACTTTGAGGACTCCATTGAGCCCCAGGGGTGGCTTAATATCCTCTGAGCTGCTGACGGGGTTCATGGGTGAGTTGAGCTGCCAAGACAGAAGCACAGCACTCAGCGGCCGCCACCACCCGCCCCACGAAGGATGCTCCTGCATGATTTAAGGGGAAGGTGAGTTTCTCCTGCCCTGCCAGATCCCCACCCACAGCACAGCCACAGTCCCTAAAGCCAGGTGCTTGCCAGCCACCCTGGCTTCATGCCGCCTCGGGATGCAGAGCAGGGAGGATGATTTGCATCTATGGTTCGTGGGAGAGCTGCTGGCTGGGAGCAAGTGCTTGCACGGATGACGAAGGCCAGGACACTTGTGCTTTGGTTCTGTAATTTACAGGTATCTTTCTAGCATTATCTCTCCAAAGGAAACCTGCACAAGTGAACAGATCCCAGATGCAATGGGGCTTGACTTTCCAGAGCCGGCTTGGCTGGGATAAATCTCTGCTACTTCCAACCTTCCAGCAGCCTGCCCACACACCTCCGCTTCCCTCCCCAGTGAGCTTGTTCCCCAACAGCTGGTGAAGAAAGCAGAGAACTGGGTGGAAGCTGGGTGCTGTGGCGCTGGTACAGATTCCCGAACTGATTCCCACATTGCCCTGTGTGGCAGGGCACGGCTGTTATTCCTCCATGTACAGAGAGAAACTGAGGCACAGAGATGTAGGACTGACCCATCTTGATAAGGGAGACAACCTCACAGCAACCCTGGCCAGCCCAAAGCAGGTTCAAGGAGGTGCAGGGGTGGACCAGGAGGCCAGGCTCAGTCAGCTCGGGATGCTTCACCGGCCAGGACCACCAAGGCTGTCCTCCTGTCCCCAGCCTGCCAGGGACTGTCACAGAGCCTCCATTCCTGCCAAATTGTAAATCCAGGTTGGATACGCAGGATTTGTGCTTCGGTTTGTTGTGTTTCTCCTCCCTAATAGAGATACTCAGCAATTGCACTTGTCACAAATTAATTCAGGGAAGTCCCAGGGCTTGTGATCTGTCAATTAGAGCAGCTCAGCCTTTAAAGTCTCTGGGCTGGTGGGGAATACTTGGCAGGCAGATGACTAATAACCGCAGAAGAGAGCAAGGTAAACCCACCCTGGAGAAATGTGATGGAGCTGCCTTGCTCTCCTGCTCTGCCCGTGCCAGCTGATGAATCAAAGGCAGCCGGGACCTGGTGCCACCAAGGGACACTCCTGGGCTTTGGCAGATGTCCAGTTACACTGCGATAGGGCAGAGAAGGGAGGGACGAGCAGGTCCCCAGGCAGGAGCTTCTCTCTGTGCTACCCTGTGAGCAGGGGCTGCTGGCACTGCTGCCGCACGTCCCTGCACAGTCCCGGGGTCAGCAGCTCCAGCAGTTCCTCCCAGTGCATTTGCTGGGAAACGGAGCCATTTCCCAGGTGGCCTTGGCTCACGGCACACTGTGCCACC